CTCTCCAAACATTTCAACATCAAGATTTCAAGAAGGTTGTTGCGAAACTTTATAAAAATATTAGGTAAGTCCTTGTCATAATTAAAACCGCCTAAGATAAAAGACGGTATGTAGAAAATAAACACATTTATCGCCACACACTTATTGCGCAAGGAATGTACCGGCGATCTCTTCCGCGAACTCGTGCCCAGCCAAAGGAGGTAGGAACACGCGTGCGCGAAACGCTGCGCTACAGCCGTCGGCGACCGCGTAGCTATAATACAAGAGAACAGTATATGATTATGAGAGATGATATTTATATAAACGCGACAATTTCGCACTCAAATTTTTGTCACGATTATGACGACCTCCGTGGTTGAGTGTCTTCATTGTGTCGTCATGTCTGAAGTCCCAGTTTCGATTCTCGGCCGTGTCATTGTAGAAACTAACTTTTCTATTTTATCTCGGATATAAGTTTTTGTATCGTCGTTGTTTCCGATTTCCATAACACAACTGCTTTAGCTACTTTGGAGTCAAAGTATCTACGTATTTGATGTTGTCTATACTCCGCCCAACCATTTATTATACTTTTGACATAAGCGTATCTATGAAGTTCCATAATTACAAGCGACCTTCGACACAAAATGCACTACTTCATGAACTTTGTTTTTTCTTAATAGTTGTGGAGTGACGTGCTTTTTTGCTCCCATTTACAATTATATTATAATAATTATATTTATCAAGCCGACAGAAATTATTCCAGTTGATTTCTCCGTTATATAGGGGTTGGTACCTGTCTAATAAATTATAAGGAAAGTACAAAACAATTTGAAGTAATTATATTAAATTCTAATAGTGTTCTTATAATGTTGAAAATGTCAATGTGTTAAATGGATTAAAACTTTTTTCACTTTAAAAGCTATCGTTGTTCAACGAATTCATGGTTTTTGAACGAATTAAAATTACGATTAAAAATTCATCATAAATAAAATCGATTGTTATAAGAAATCGAATTGGTAAGGCATTGGGACATCACTAATTAATTATGTAGTCCAGCTATCAAAGTAAAATTCACTAAGTCTTGGCCGTATGGTGTCAAATCTTTGCCTTTTCGTTTACGGTAGTAATGAAAAAAACAACTTAATTGCTTGGACGGAATATAACAATTACGTCTTCTTCAAAACAAGCCAAAAACTTAAAAAAATAGAATATATTATTTATGTCTCTCCTACAGCACACCCTTATGGCGGCAGTCGGTAATCATCTGGGCGTTCACATACCCACTGCTCGGTTTATTACACGGATTAAAAAGTTTTGTCTGATGGCGCGGTCAAGGTCAAATATCTACTAATTATCTTTCACAATGAAGTAAACAAAAAAGATTTGGTTTTTATTACTAGTATTAACATATTTTGCAACACCTCGCCTATCATGTAACCATAAATAAACCATAGTGATTAGTCGTGTTTTTATATTTGCGAATAGTTTTAATTAGGATTAGGAAAAATAACCACGCCAAACTTCAATTAAACTTAAGGACAAGCACTCATCACGGCTACAATATATCTGATAACCATGTACAAACAGAGAGTGCTTGTATGAAGATAGGTTGCTGTTTTCATTAAACTATGGCAGCGAAGGTAACCACGACAAATTACATGCTTCACTTCAGAATTCTTTACAAATATAAACATTAACACTGGTTAATAATTACAAAGTTACAGTGTTATTTCGTGCTTTTAACGGACATTTCTCGTTAATTAACATAAGGAAGAAAGTAAAAGGAAATACGTAAAGCGGATTACTTTTTATTATATATAATCTTAAAACTTAAGCTCTGCTCTGTATTACATATAATAAATCATTTTTAGGTCCTTTTTAAAAGTTACTTTAAATTAAGTAGCAGAAGAGCTCCTTGTAAAAGAATTTCTCCAGGAAAGTACTAGTACCTTACCGATTTCTACCGCACACTGGTAATGTGAGAATTACTGCTTTCGGGTTTTAAACGGTGAGAGTGCTGGACTTATGTCGCAGGGTGAAGGGCGCAGTAGCTGTGCCCCTCAGATCTCTGTAATTCAAAGTTGTAAGTGGCACTCAACTGCTATAAACAGACTAACAACCAAGCGCGCCACTTTTTCGTCCCGTAACTTGGTACCATAAAAAAAACTAGAAACAATTAAGCTTCTTCTTATCATATCTATGGCATACACTGTATTGCCATCGTAGTGAAAGGATTTTCCAATCGACGTAAAGGTACTCATCGATTATTCCCCAGGGTTCACCAGAGGTGCAGGGAGCCCAGGTAGCACAGTTGCAGGGACGCTCCCGTTATCAATTCAGGTGAATTCAGGCGAACTGGTAACACTAAAATCACAAGTAAAAATATTGACCAACTAAATTAAACGACAATGGAAGCATTGAGAACAACAAAGGCGTTCGGCACCCAAAGCCCGTTTTGATCTTATTGCATCAAAACATGTAAACAAAACCATCTAGAATTTTGTGACAAAAACTCATTTCGATCTCACTTCTAGATGACGTAAGTTTCATTCATTTAAAAGGTGGCGCTCCGCCCTTGTGGCATAGATTATGATTGAATTTCGGACACGTTACCTGCAGTTTGTAAAAACTTATTTTAATGTAAAAAAAATATCTAAAACAAACGACTTCATCCTCAACATTGAGCATTTAGGAGGCCAGTGGCACCTGCTGAAGGTAACTTTTGGTCCATCTACGTAACAATGTCGATTCATTTCAATCCAGCGAATTCAATTAATGATTAAAAATACATTGATTTTTTTTTTCAATGTTACTTTTAAATACGACTGATTCACAATTTATTTCCTTAAAAACCAATAATAAAACGAACGCCCCATAATTTACCAGTTTGGTGCAACAAGGGCAGATAACACAAGGAAAAAAAATATTTTCAAATGTTTCTAATTGTTTTAAAATAATAATAACACCTGATTCTTTAAGCTAAATCATAGGCCAAATAAATAATAAAGTATATAAGAGTCATATATAAATATTAAAAAGATATAAGACATTAAAACTTTCTTTTCAATTTTCTCGAATCTTACGCCAAATTACACCAAATGCTTCAATTTCAAGTCCCACGCAAGAGTCCTTGAAAATCGGTTCAATCCTCATTACATAAGAAATAGAAAAATCCACCAAAGTCACGACGTGTACAAACACGTTACAAAATCTAAGAGTTATTTCTTCAAAATTACGTAGAAGGCTATTTGTAAATCTAACCAGTTGGCGTATAGTAAATACACTTAGCCTGTTAGCTAAACCGCTCGTTATCGAGTCAGATAGAGCATAAATCGAAACATTGAACTGTGATTATATGTTTTACTCGATCAGGAAATTGGTATCATTGGCAGGTGTTGATTTCGAAGCCTTTAATTTACAAAAGATTTTATAACATTTTGTAGAAATGTTTTCGGTAACATTAGAGTTTATAATTTTTTTTTAATGATACCAAGTGCCTGGACGAACAAATTGCGCCCGTCATCCTGAGACATAAGTTGACAAGTTTCTTGTGCCTGTAATTTCACCAGCACCCTTACCGTTTAAAACCCGAACGCAGTAATTCTCACACATCGAGAATATAACCAGAAATAGAGACGAAATATGGGCCATCCATCCCTGGCAATTCATCAGGTAAATGAACCTTATATCACTCTTAAATATCAACTCTCGTTTGCGCTGAAATCACAAATTAGAAAACTGAAATGGTACAACAACTGACCTGTGTGTACATCTCCGTATATTCCAAAAATATTCTATATTTATTGTAATAAAGATAATATCTCTAACAATGGGAGACTGTTCTATTCGATGGTGTGTGAAAAACAGCAAAACATCTAATTACAAAACAAAGGGAATCACATTTTATCGGCAATTAAATATTAAATAAGTAATTTTAAATTTTTTTCAATTGACAACACCCGTCAATTGTTTCGAATTCGGGCTGACCAATCGGAGCGCAGTTGTCACCGTAATAAATTTGGCAGAATAATTTTCAAACAAATTAAATGACATTTCATCTCTATTTCTGGTTATACACTCGATGTTCTTACATTACCGCTTGGTACAAATTGTTAAGGTGGTTGTACTTCCCTGGACAAACTCACCAGAAGCTCTATCGCTTCTAAAAACTTAATAAATATTTTATTTTCAATTATTTATCATGTTATGTGCTACGCACAGTAATACCAACTACTTGCTCTCAAAGTAACGAATCGTCAGTACCACTGTACGAAATTAACTCCGGTGGCACTACCCAGAATTATAATTGTATCTGTTGGTCTTACCGGTAATTGAACACGCCACAGACGTTTACAAGTTTGTGCGTACAGAGGGCCGTTTCCTCCTGCTGGGTGCTCCCACTGGTAGGAGTACGAGGCCTAATATGTCCGTATGCTCCTATCGCGACGTCGTATCTAATAAGTACAGTGTACTAGAATAAAGAAATATCAAAATAAAAAAGTGAAAAATATATTTATTTAATAGGTAAGAAGAAAATTACTAGATATAGAGATAGAAGAATGATCAAGAAACTCTAGGGATTGCTCATTTAATATAGTAATTTAATTGTACATACAGAAACAGCCTGAAAGAACTAAACGGATCACTACTATGGATTTTTGGCCGTTTTATATCTTGATAAGGCTTAGCTCCGACTTGTCAGCAATCAATACTGCATTCATGCTAAACCTATGTTTTATTCGTGTAAACGTCAACTTGAACGCCGCTAAAAAGACCTGAAGAATGCGGATTAAACACCAAACAGTGCGCGAAGCTGACGAGTGTTGACATGTGATGTTCTGTACTAATTTGATATATTCACTTAATTCATTTCCAGTATTTTTATCGAATTTATAAACACCCTTTCGTCGGCTTCATCAATTGATGAGGCCTTGATAATATTATTATGTACTATCATAAAAAAAACCATAAACAGCGTGTTCTTTGCCAAACATATTGAATAAATTATCTCTTTCTTTCAGGTGTGGAGTAGTATGCTCCGGCTGCACCTGACAGGCAAACATCTTCGAGTGATGCTGTGGTGCATACTGCTCGGACTTCAACCAGCCTTCGCCGGCATCCTTGACCCCTTCAACTGGGCTCGATCTGACAGAATCGAAGTCAACATACCTTGGTTACCATGTAAGATGGTTTCCTTTACATTTTTATTTTGTTTATGATATAACGGAAACAAATTTATAGTCCAGAATATAAACAAAGGGAATAAACGAGCAAAAAAGTAGTGTCTAATTTTTAACCGGCTTCAAAAAAGGAGGAGGTTCTCAATTTGACTGTATTTTTTTTTGTATGTATGTTACGCGATTACTTTGTAAACCGATTACGATGATTCTTTTTTTTGTTGGAAAGAGGGTATCTCAATGTTGGTTCCATTTAAATTTGAAGTAAATATTCCTCTAAAAGTGTTTGCCACTTTTAGGGGATAAATCTGGTATAGCGCACAATTCCACGAACTTTTGAGGTCAGTTCTTTCATAAAAAAGTTATATTTTTTGACAATAATGTTTTTATTTCAAACTTTACAACTCTTTTTAACCTATGATCTGATAAAACTTGGAACAATAAACATTTAGCAATAAACGTTTTTACTTAATTTCGTTTAATACAATAATTGTGATAAAAGACTATATCTAAGGTCTAAACTGATTTTATGATACTAGAAACACAATAGGGATCAAAAACATTTTTTTGTCGTGGACGTTTATTTTATCGTTCAACGACTGTTGTGTCTAGCTGTTCCCACTAGATCGTGACGACAATTTATCGGTTCACAGCAGCGCCTTGTCGTTTGCACGACAGAAACGTTTGGAGCAGCGATTATTTGTCGTCACATTTTTCTCATGATGTTTTAACTCTTCCCATTGTCAGTCTGTCGTCGTAACGTCAAAAAAGTCGACAATTAATCGTGTAGTAGTATATGTGAACAAATTCATTGAAATGTACAAGCCACGACACTTTAAACTTCTCGACTATCTAGCATCACGACTGGGGAATGAGCCCTAAGTCGAAGAAAAACATAACTGAACATAAAATGCAACTATGAATCCATACTTAACTAGAATATGTAAATACTACATGGAATATCTTAATAATTATTTATTAATTTCAAATGAAAATTAAAGGGTTTTATTGGTTGATTGATCAGCCAAGTTAGTGTAAGACACTTTTAAGCTGTTACGGCGGTCAAAGGGTTAACGTTTAATACAAACTCGTGCATTTTTCTAACTGCTCATACGAGTAACTACTACTACACTGCTTAAAGTACAAAGAATCATAAAAATGTATATGTATTTCCGCAATGCTTCCGTTGGCTTTGTATGCTATAAGTTAATTACTGAGCCTTGTTTAAAGAAAAGGCGCGTTTCAACATTAATGTTCTCGACGGACGCACGGTTTGTAGGCCCGAGGCCGCTACAGGTGCCAGGATAATTTCAAAATCTCGTGATATTAATGATATCTGTGCAAAGTTAGGTATAATCGCCCATTGACTATTTGTTATTCAGTTGGTTTGTAATCGCCCATCGTAATGTAAATGGGTGATAGTGTCACCCATTAAACTCTAAATGATTTATGATGTTTATAAAAATGGAAGTAAATTAATTTGCTACTAGGTGAACCTATTACATATAATAAAGCTACAAATTCTTACTCACTGATAGAAATAGAAAGCATACTTCCCGATATGGTGGAAAAAAGATATTTATACCGTTGTACGCGGATAGGCTCCAAAGCAAAAAAATCAAATATGAGAGGACCTGAATATGGAAAATATGAAAGAATGATCAACGGCCTGCAAAAACTATAATATATGGAGGGAATATTTGTCCATTTTTATGAGGTACATTATGAGGTAGTCAATTTCCGCGGGAAGTAAAAAAATGTTTGAAATTCAAATAAACAAGATGGCCGCGATACAAATTTCAAAGCCTCCTATCACGGAAACTATTAGAGATAGGTAGGAGGTGCTCGAAGAAATGTCATAGAGGGTAACACTGGTCAACTGCCTGGGTTAGCAAATTCTCAAGAAAGCGATTTCAAAATGGCGGCCGAAGAAAAACTAGGTTCGATCCGGCAGAAAATTGACATGCAAAGGTCTTTAGGGAGTCCTTAATCATAATTTGGGGTCAAAAGTTTGTTTTCGCCATTTTTTTATATGGCTGCCATATATGTAAGTGTTTTTTTCGTTGAAAATAGCTGCCGAAAAAAATTTGCTCTGATTCGGTTGAAAATTGGCATGTGAAGGCCTCTAGAAGTGCCGGATAATAATTTTTACTCAAAATTTGTTTTTCGCCATTTTCAAACATGGCCGTCATAGAAGCGTTCGTTGGCGGCAGAAAAAAAATTGCTCAGATCCCTTTGAAAATTGACATATGAGGATCTCTAAGAATACTTGATAATAATTTGTGATCAAAATTGGTTTTTCGCCATTTTTGAATATGGCCGCTAAACAAGTGTTTATAGAAATTCGCTCTAATTCAACTGAAAATCGCCATGTGGGGGTTTCTATAGATTTTTCATAATAATTTGTGGTCAACATTTATTTTTCGCCTTTTTTCAATATGGCTGACATACAAACTCTTTTAGCGGCAGATAAAAATTTGCTCTAATTGGATTGAAAATGCACATGTCGGGGTCTCTATGAATGTTTAATAATAATTAGCGGTCAAAATTAATTTTTCGCCATTGTTCGCTATGGCTGCCATACAAACTTTTTTGGCGATAGACAAAAAATTCTTCTAATTCAACTGAAATCGGCATGGCTTCAATCATAATTTAGGCTAAACATTTTGTTTCCGCCGTTTTTCGATATACCTGTATTTTTTTGATGTAAATGGCTGTTGAAAAAACTTGCTTTGCTCGGACTGAAAATTGGCACGAAAAGAATTCTAAGATTGTTTGATAATAATCAGTCAAAATATATTTTTGCAATTGCAAAGATAAAGGCAATTTTTTTTAAAACAAAGTCGTTAGTGCCGAGGCTGTAGGCCGAGGACGAGACCGCACGCGTTCGCAAGGAGGTAATATACGGAGGCGTAATAGATTACGAGTACAAGATCTTACAATTATAAAAATGCCAAACTACTGCCGAATTTCCTGTAGTATAAATACCAAAACAACGATAACCCAGATTACTCAAACCAAAACCAACTTATAAATGTTCGTTTCTTAAATTGGCCGGAAATCGGGAATCGAACTCCTCATCAAGCGCCCGTAGTACTAACTGCTCTGCCATCGAAGAGCATGAGCACACCCCGTAACCTGAACCCGACCATGCGCCGCAGGCCGAGCCCGATCCCACCGTAGGTGGGGTACAGGGCTCGTTATTATATAAAGTTAAATCGTGTTTGTTTTTTCGGTCGAGCATCGAAAAATCGACAACTTCTAAGGAATCCTTTTTGGTGGTGATGCTTATAACTGTAGTTGCACTTGTGTTATTTATTGATAGACTGAAACAAAGAAGGAGGTTCTTAATTCTACTGTATGTTTTTTTTGTACGTATGTTACGCAATACTTCCGCCATTTGTGAACAGGTTTTGATGATTCTCTTTTTGTTGGAAAGAGAATACCTATATAGTGGTCTAATTTAAATTTGACGAAAGTATTCCACCTCTAAGGGTGGCACACTAGGGGATTAATGACTTTTGAGGTTGGTTTTTTTTAGTACTTTGTTCTAAGATTATTTAATCAAATTTATACGGAGCAAACAATAAATAAAATAGTCAACAAAAGTGCAGCTATGTAGCACGATTTAACCTTTACTGAGTTCGGGCAGTAGCAAATTAATTTACTTCCATTTTTACTAACTGAACTCGCTGTGACAGCAGCCTGTAATAATCCTCTATTATAAGAAAGCTTATTAAAAGTTACTAGGCTAGGCTAATTAAAAATTACAAGTTACAAAGGACGTATACAACGGTGAGATTATCTCTAGAAAAGATCTCTTTCAGCCAACGCTAGTCATGGTGAATCGCGAAAGCCTTTCTTTGTGTTCGATCTTTGTATTTATAATTATAATTGACTAGTGGAATAATTTCACAAAAAAAAATAATGTCATGGCTGTGAAACATCATAATATATGTTACATTTAATATTATAATTTATAAAGCGACGTCTCTTGTAATAGTTGGTAGCTCTAAAGGTCCGTTGAGTGAAATAAAACTGAACTGAAGATGGCGCTACGGCTAAAAATTCGTTATAATGCCGAACTTCTTTAATTTTTGCAGTTGAAAACGAAACAAGGTGTTACGATGATCTGGGATGTCTGAACATCACGAGGAGTTGGTACCACCTCATTCACCGGCCTTTTAACGTCTTTCCGCTGCCAAGAGTTGTAATTAACACGAGGTAAAGTATCATATTATAACTACACTACAACAAAGTACCTACCATGATTTACAGAAACAGTTGTGGTAAAATATTTGTGTATAAAATGTTACTTCTTATTGCGATCGTTACAAACACTGTACAATTTGCCGTACAAAATTATAAAGTACTTTGTGCGGCACTGAAATGTATGTATTGCAATCTTTAAAACCAATAACCAGTCCTGTAGAATGTTTACCTTGATTTGAAATGAATATGAAATACAGTTACAATACAAGTAGGCAGTCTCGTGTACTTACCTACTTTAATTCTAGTTAATGGGCATAAGAAGCTATTATTCCCACGTAAGATATAATGTTGTTCTACGATATAATTTAGATATCTATACCAGAAGTACTAATAAGCATCTCTAGTCACGTAATCTCTACATCCTGTACATAATTAAATTACGTGATTCAACGTCACGTTAAAATGTGGCATATATCTAAGTCGAGAATCTTAAGTCTGTCTCATAGTACGATGGTATTCAACGTTCCTTCCATGAGTCTTTTAAACCTTTTTCGATGTAATTTTATTTTCATGTCACGCAGTCTAAATCACCGAAAAGCGTGATATAAAAAATACAAACAGAGATAAAGAAATAGAAAATGTTTAATTTAAAATATAAATTACCCAAGAGACGAAAAAGTCTCAATAATATTAATTAATGGGCTCGTTTATTTGACATTCACGGTGATTTTTTCTCCATTTCAAAAGCCTGCACCATTCTAGGTCGAAACTATGGTAGACATATTTTCAGCGTACACAGGCGTTGGACATTAAGCACTGAAACTTAGAGTAAAAACCTAACTATGATTTTTTTAAATTATTGCTCAGGACATTGGAGGCAAATTAAAGTAGAATATGAAATAAACAAACATATTAAAAAGTAATTATAAAGACAACAGTAATATTAAAAGGCGTGAGGTACTCGCAGATTGTTGCCCAAAATGCGCCAGATGTATAGGTAAAGGAATGGTACGTTGTGCTGGGAGGCTCTTTTCGTTCAAAATAACATTATTTAAAATTATAGTGTTCATTTAAATTGAGAAAAGATGGCCGGATTAGCCACAATTTCAGTTTAAAGTGAAAAGAACACGTACTCGGAGCGCTGGTGACATTGACAGGCAGGAATATATGCGAGGGCTCATCCATTTGAAATTGCTCAGGACATTGAAGATAGTTTCTTTTTTCAGATTCATATTATACACTAAGAAGAACCCTACAGACGGGCAGCTACTGAACGTGAACGTGAATAAGACAATAGTAAAATCAAACTTCAGTCCACGAAGGCTTACCAAAATGATTATCCATGGATTTATTGACACACCGCTTTCTAACTGGGTAAAATTTACAATTCAAATCTAAATATCGAGTATGAACAACATTTTTTACATATTAACCTGCAACACCTATACAAAATATTATTTAAACCTAGTTAGTTAAATAACCGTATATGTGTCTTAAAGACGATTTCCATGTAAGATATTGTTTATTTAAAATTTTTATTTAAAAATTGTTACATCGTTTCTTAACTCTAAGGGTCCTATTCCAGAACTCTACTCAATGCTCAAGTCAGGACTTGAGTATTGCAGTGAATACTGAAAATCATACTCAAGTCCTTGCCATTAGGGTCGTATTTCCAGTGCTTGAAATTATACTCAAGTCTGCTCAAGGCCTGACTTGAGCATTGAGTAGAGTTCTGGAATACGACCCTTAGTGTGATTATTATACAAGAGTGTATGCTTATTTTGTACTAAAAAAATTCGTATTGTCAGTTTGGACGTCATATCTTATTACAGAGTAAAGAAACATTAAAAAAGAATCGTAAAGTAGGTACTCTTTAAATTAAAAAAAAAATGTAGTCTGTATTTAAAAACACAGTACGGTAAGCACCGCGGAAGAAAGTGTTTATGTGGTCTGTGGTAAGCACACTATATACAAACAAACTTTGATTCGATCCTATATTTCATCCTAACATAGGATAATTGAATATCGAATAATTTGTAGACATGATTGAGAAACTGATATGGAGTTTTCCGTTAATTTGAATATTTTCAAAATTATACTGTTTGAAAACACCATAAATTCCATATAACTTGCATTAACTTCGTGAAGTTTTAAAAAAAATAACAATGAAAAATTAGTTAATTAATCTTGTATTAAAAATAAAACATTGATGGGTACCACTAGGGTTAGTTGAAGAACGGTTGATGACGTACATTTGTGAATGTTTAGCAGCAATACCTCTCCCTAATGATAAAGTAAAACATCGTGATGAAATTTATCAGCCCAAAAAGGTTCATTTCGCACTTTTCGAAAATGTGCGAAATTCCCATCCCATATCGGGTCAGCGTGATGGGTCTAGACACTCTATTTATATATATTTTGAGGAGATCATTAAATAGCGGTGATAAAAATGTATATTTACCATTTGAAAAAAACATGAAACTACGATATGTCCACTGAAATCGACGCGTACTCTGGGACATGGGTCTCTTAACCTCCTAAGGCCCCTTCAGAGAATAAAAATGGCCCCGCATATATCAAAATGTACATAACATGAGAAATGTTCAGACCCAGAGGATATTATTCGTATGATCACCTAAACGACCAGTGTACAATAAGATGATAATATCGCATTCAAATTCACTTCTGTTATACATATTTTACATAACCATAGGCTATGTAGAAAAATACGTGTTTCATACAAAACTGAGGGCATACTTGCTTGGGTCTTAGAAGGTTAAATAACGTATTTGCAAAGTATAAGTAATGTTTCAGGTGAGTGAAATGAAGGACGAACTTGTAAAAGCGGGAGACTTTAACGTGGTGATAGTGGACTGGGCTGGTGGTAGTTTACCACTGTACACACAGGCAACAGCCAACACTCGCCTCGTGGGACTTGAAGTTGCGCATTTTGTTAATACTTTACAGGCAAGTAACTGTTGAACTTTTTTTTATGATATTTTGCTGTTAAATGCTGAGTTTGTGGTCTAGGGTGAATTATGCATGGCTGGTATCCTATTCAGTAAAATAGAGATACTATTTTCAGTTTTGCCTGAATTAATACGCATGTTAATGATTTTATTTGAAACATGCTTTTCCTGCTAGTAGTTATAGCTCATTTGGGAGAGGAGTTAGCCCCGGTCTGGCAAACAGTTGCGTGTGCGAATCCAACCGGATCAAAGGAATTTGTCTTTCTGTTTGATCGACAGACCCGAGACAATATAGAAAATTTAGTTTCCACATTGAAATAGAACCCGGGACCACGGAGATGGCTACACCATAAAAACCGGTGTGCAAGCCACCCGACCAAGGAGATCGTTAATAAGGAAACCATTGTTACTGGATCTATCAAACATACAGCCGTGAACATGGGAACTGTAAAGAATCCGAAACGCTGGCTTGTTTGGAAAAACATTTTGAAATCCGAAAAAACTAGTTTCATTTAAAATTTGTAGCAATCGCAAATCCCTGAGAACTTGATATAAAGATTCATTTCCATTTCAGAAAGAACACGGTTTGAATCCACTTGATGTTCATATAATTGGGCATTCGTTAGGTGCCCATACAGCTGGCTATGCGGGAGAAAGGATACAGGTAAGTTTGGATACCGGATAATTTTAAACTATTACAAAAGTTGGAAAGTTACACTGTAATTGGGACTTCTATGTGGATTTATACATCGTATTTATATTTAGTACATATAACTTATTATTATTAATTAGGTAGACCGTCTTCCCGTTGACGATGTGATCGTTTTGTTTTTCCTTGTATTGACGCTTTTATGATCGAAGGGCAGTGAGCGAAGCTTTCTTGAGTTGATCAAATTGCACAATTTTCGAATGGAATCGGTCGTACCTCAATCGAATGCCCCAACTTTTAAATTAACATAAAAATACAATTATACAGGTCATTAACATAACCGAAATTTTTAATTTCGACTTAAGTTGTGTTGTGACCTGAGGAAATTGAGGTTACCATGTTCAATCTATTGGAATAATATTCAAATGTCAAATTTTGCGCGCGCAAATTTGTAGACTATGAAAAAAGTAACAATAAGAAAAAAAATAAAAATAACATTTGCACGGGTTCTTGCAAAACCGTATAAAAAGAAAAATAAATCAACATTCAGCCTAGTTTTTAAACCTCAAATGCCTTTCAACTTAGAATAATAACGCATAGAATGATAGTTTCATATCAAACGAACTGTCACAAGTGAGGCAAAATCAAATTCATGTAGGCTAGTTTTAGTAGCAGATTAATTTTCGGTTTTAGTGAATATTTATATAAAAACACAAATTGAAACGCGTTACTTCCTTGTGGAATGTGATGTTAGTATCTATTTTATGTTTGTCTGACGTATTTTTACACTGATTTACCGCACATTTCGTCATTTTTAGCTAAAATTCTTGAGCTGTTCGCGGTGCAAGTTGACCTTGAGCCCTGAAGGCCCGCCCGCTCGTGTAGGCCCTTTTGGCGCGCTTCAATTTGCCTCACATAGCGTGTGCGGACTAGGACTTTCTATGCGTTATTATTCTTAAGCCTTTCAAGATAAAATTCATGCAATAAGCTTTCTTACTTATTTATTATAGAATACAAATTATGTAAATATATATTATCAATCCCTACTGGGCCCATAAATGTTCATAAAATTGATTGAGTATTGACTGCCTCCCGCTTGATAAATGCCATTGGAAAGACATTACTTTACACATACAATCAGTTTCACAAAAGATTTAACACAAAATTTAATTAAGTTCAGGTGGGGTAAGAAGAACACCGGGTTAAGGCTTCAAAGGACTTAAAACCTTAACTCATAATCTAAGGAGTTTAGCATTAATGTCCTTCAGTTGATAAAACAGGCAAAGAAATTTTTTTTTAATACAGTTGCTCAAAACGTGGTATTTTTCGCACTACAAATCGTGCGGAAAGTTGGATTTCTCGCACTAGTGCTTTTTACTTTTCCAGTTTTTTTTAATTTACTGTTGTTTTAAGTCTTAAACATAGAGGATTCGCTCTGGACCTTTTGGAGGGAAAAGTTACGTTTTTATTTTGACTTTCAATTATTTTGTGAAATCTAGTTTAAAGTGGAATAGGATAGTGCTATTGTGCCTTAATCGCAGATTAAAACGCGAAATTATACGAATCTCGAACTAGAATACCCGTAGCGGCCTGTTTTAAGGAATCCCGAGTCAATCCAAGCACGCCGCCTCAAATTGCCTATCCTCTTTGTGGCGGCCATATTTACAGAAACATAATTAAACTTCATGTTTAGGCTGATGGCTTTGCCAAAGCCTTAACAAATTAAAAAAAAAATTAAACATAGAACTAAAGAAGTTGTATATTTATTTAATATTTATGTGCTTTGTGATGTATGTACATCACTTACTTATGTAAGTCATTCGTCATTAAAACTTATATTTATTTACAAATACTATATAATGAACGTATCGAGTGGAGGTCCACAGTCTCTGCCTACCCCTGAATGGGTGACAGGCGAGATTTTTATGTATATATTTATTTGTTCTATGTATTACAGATAAATTGTATCTCACTACCGTGCACGGGTTCCTAAAGAAGTTTAAACAAAAGTACCAGGACTTCATAATAAGAAAAGTGGTTACAGACCGATATTACAGAAAATAAACAAAAACAGCACGTTAGAACTAGATTTCCATAGACTTTTAACTAATGGTTGCAGTGGTTGTATTTCATTATTTTAATTTACTAGCAGAAAATGAGTTTTGTTTAAATACTGTTTTATTTTACTTTCAATGTAGTTTTTTCGCAAATGTATTAAAAAACATCGTTTGATACACGTGCGGATTTGTCATTTTCACTTGTCTCGCGTCTTGACAAGAAGCCTCGAGACTCGTGAATAATGACTAACTTTCCGCACTTATATCAAAAATAACTATTTCACCTCACTAGCTCAGAAAGGCTTTCTTTCTCATTAGAAATCTGCGCGCAAAAGCGTTTTTTCTACGCTAGAGTGGAAAAGGTATTTGAAATTCGAACTTGACGAGTTTTTCTTTCGATGAAAAAAAACATAATGACACATTCAACTACGCGATTTGTCGTACATTATTTAAGTAATATGAATCCGTTGGTATATTTTATTCTTATTATTGTTGACATTAAATTGACAACGATAACTAATTTTTGATGTACGAATGAATGAAACTGATTTGTTATAGTTCAACTGTTCTTTCATCTACCATTTGCCTCACTATAGTGAGGTGAAAAGTTGTGTGTTTCGCTCGGCAGCAAAGTTGTTTTGCGTCTCGTGCCTTGAAACCCTCGTTACGCTCAGGATTCTATTTTTGAAGTATATAAGTATTATCTTCTCAATACATTCGACTCAAAATAAAGTGTGTTCCTCTTACCCCGCCTATATATTATATTTAAGTGAATCATCACGTTTCTCTGCCAACTGAGCCGTCGTTTTATCTTTGATTTAGCCTCTCATTTCATAGGGCTTGGGCAGGATTACGGGTCTCGACCCGGCGGAGCCCTATTTCCAAGGAATGCCAATACATGTCCGGTTGGATCCTTCCGATGCCCAGTTCGTTGACGTCATACACACCGATGGAAAAAGCATATTCCTTTTAGGTAAACATTTGATCATGATAACAAGGTGCAAAATTGCTTACCCACAATAACATTATTATTAGTTTGAATGTCATTCGAGAAATTCGAGATCATGGAAATGGATGCCACATTTTTGAAGCTCGTTCAGCTTTTCTTTTGTTTTATGATACATGAAAACTTGCATAACGCTTTTGTTTTCATTTTCTAAAATCGTAAAACAAAATGTTTTCTATTAAATACTTTCTAATTAGATTCGATCATGTTTAATGATGGGTTTGCATTTTTGTATCCTTTTGTATGTATTGCACATTCGCTTCTAATTATCTAATGTATCTGTCGCTGCACCTATTGTTGCATCATCCTTGTGGTACGTGAGCTCATCGTCTTAAAAATTTGAATTACTTTCACAGGCTCAAAGGGAGGGTATTAGATCTTATAGTTCATTGTTCTAACCTAATGTAATTTGACGCATAATCTTTGCACTTTTATTAACCGACTTCCAAAAACAGGATGTTCTCAATTCGACTGTATTTTTTTGTGTATGTTATGCGATTACTCCAACATTTGTGAACCAATTTCGATGATTCTTTTTTTGTTGGAAAGGGGGTACCTTAGTGGTGGTCCCATTTAAATTTGAAGAAAATATTCCACAATTAGGTGATAAATCCAGTATATTAGATTTCACACACTTTCCAGTAGAGGATTTCATTAAAACTTGGCAAATAGATGTAGGTCCACAACCTTTTTGAGGTCGGTTTTCTTTTATAAAAAAGTTATTATTATTAAACAACATATTTCCATACAATTAGAAACTTTTACCGTAAAACTAAATTTTCTCTTTCTTGTCGTATCGATGGCATAAACTATATTATTGTGGCCCAAAATTTATTACCGCTACCCGCGTCACTGATAGTAGCCGCCATGTTGAAATATAGATTAAAATGGAATATACATTTACAAATTGTATTAGTTACATTATTGTGTTATCGATCAAATGCACGAGACAGAATATTATAAGTTATAATTGTAACAAAAAACGAGAGAAAAATAATTATATATCGAGTTCTTAGGTTTTCGCGATTGTTACACATAGGAAATGAAATTATTTTTTGGATTTAAATCGTGTATATTTGTTTTTTCAAACAAACAAAACAAAAGGTTTGTTTGAAAATACAAATATACGCGATTTAAATCCGGAAAAATAAAATAATTATACCTATTTTATAAAAAAAAATAAACCAACTTCAAAAATTTGTGGAATCACTTCTATATGCAAAGTTTTATTGAAAACGGTTAACAGAAAGTGATTGAAATCCAAACCTGATTTAGCCCCTGATTTGGTACCCTTACAGGTGAAACATTTTCTTCAAATGTAAATGGGACCAATACTGAGGTACCCTCTTTCCAACAAAAAAAGAATCATCAAAGTCGGTTCACAAATACACACAAACATACACACAAAAAATACGTAGAATTGAGAACCTCCTCCCTTTTTTTAACCTGTTAAAAAGGGGACCGGGGCACCTTAATTTATTGAATTAATGATTTACTCCTTCCAACGAAGAAAAGCACTTTATATGACGATACGTCGAAAAAATAACATATTTTAATTGATTGTTTACTAATCAGAAAGACCTTGAAGATACTCACTGAATACCTAAAAAAGATGATATTTTTCTGAGCCACTCACAACGCACCTCGAAATATAAGCTTCATCGCTCTACAATTTGATGATAATCAACTAACCCATATTTTCTAAGTCTATGTAAATATTATTATGTAAATATATAAACGCTTTATAGCTGTTCCATTCATTTATATATGAAATTTATATTTATGTATTAATCGCATTTATCACTAATTACCGACGTGTTTGTTTTACACGTGCGACAGATTTTGTATTTATGGCAGGATATGGAATGTCGCAACCTGTCGGACATCTGGACTTTTATCCCAATAATGGGAAGGAACAACCTGGTTGTGACTTAACTGAAGGGCCATTAGTTCCTCTTACACTGGTTAAACAAGGACTGGAAGAAGCGTCCAGAGTATTAGTGGCCTGTAATCATGTCAGAGCGATTAAATTGTTCACGGAGTCTATAAATTCGAAGTGCCCTTATATTGGTAAGTATTTTTAATATTGAACCAGCTTACTTAGTAATGCAAAAAATAAAATATAAATATAATTAATCAAAAAAAATCTTCTAAGTACAATTCAATTTCTACAACCCAAATTATAAAGAGATATCACTCACCTAACCTTTAAGTATATATAATGTGAATAATATCTGCTGCTGAAATAAAAAATCACGTAATTATTAAAAAAAACAACTGCCTCCGTGGCCGAACGATTACCATGCCGAACTCCCACGCAGAGGTCCCAGGTTCGATTCCCACGCCGAAGAAATATTTGTATGGCCTACATTTATTTCTCTCGTGAGTTTGGGTGTAATTTGTGGTTGTCTACGTGTGTGTTCATAGCACCCGCGACACAGGGTTTTCCTGGTGCGGGGCTAAGTTGAGTGTGTGCGTTATTATTATTACTGCTATTACAATAATGTTGTAACTCAAAATATGTGAAATTGAAGATTATACCGCTGCGGAACGTAAAATTTGCTTTTTTTTTCGTAAAATTTGCTTGCTGGTTACTTACATAATTACAAAACATTTCTTGATACTCTAATTAAGTAACGTTAACTCCACGACAAAAATATAGAACAAAATACAATGCAATCATACCGGGATTTCATAGAGAGGCATTATCAACACTATATGTATTGCTTTCTTGAAATTTAGGTAAAATATGGTAGTAAATTATTTATTTATGTCAAAAAGGTGGTTCTATAATTTTATGTACAAAACCATCTTTTTCGTTTATAATTATAACAAATCTGCATTTTAAATAATTACAGGTCATCAATGTCCATCATATCAGCATTTCATATCAGGAAAATGTTTCCACTGCGGTCACGGGTGTGCTGTCATGGGGTAATTACAAACATAAATACCGTACCCTTGGTGTAATAAGGTCACATCTGCAAAATGATAACTTTCCAGGAGAGAGGTTTAAAGATTATGTGAACTAAATTACTCGATAACTTTTTATGCTTAAATATGAGAGTCATAAAAATTTACAGTTATGTAACTTGTTTCGTGTAATTTGTATTATTTTTATGAATTGGACGTAGTTAAGCAAAAAGGATCCAATCCACAAAATTACCAAACTGTTCCTAAAGCCTAACCCCTTAGATCAGCAAAAAAAATCCAACATATGAACATAAATAAATATATCTGGAGTTACATTACATTTTAAGTCTTGAAAATAAAACATGAGTGGGAAACATTTTTAACTTCAAACTGCCATATCTCGAAAGTGACTGGATGTGCATTGGTTCCTTTTTGTTTAACTACGTCCACTTTTACAAGCACTTTTGGCGTATGATCACATGTGGCTTTTTTATACCAAAGGTTCGAATACTTATTTATTTATATATGTATTTTTACTTATTATTTTCCTTTATTTACCGTTTTTTATCTCAAGCTACACAACATATAGCTATTTCTGCCACTAAGCATTAATGTGTTCCGGTTTTGAAGGGTAAGGGTGCTGATGAAATTACAGGCACATGGTACTTGTCAACTTATGTCTTAGGGTGATGGGCGCAGTGTCAATGTCCCCTCAAATCTTTGTGATTTAAAACTGTAAGTGACACTGCAACTGCTACGGACTTGTTCATCCCGTCACTTGTATCATAAAAAAAGAAACAGAAAAAAATCCAACAGTTATACTTCTCCAGTAGCTTACCAGTTGGAAAGATTCCGAACTCATAAATCATTTACTTATGAAAAAAACAGATAGTACATAACGATTGTCAAAAAATGGAAACCACCTCTTAAAATCTTCACTACAAAGAAGTTTACAGTAACAAAATACAGTTACACTGTGCCCGATCAAATATTACGAGTATAGGCACACAAACATATTAATAATAAATTTCATTTAATAACACGTTTCTTTTAGAAATTACTACGCTATTTGGATAATTTTGACTAACTTCAATCTAGGGCTGAATTTATATTGCGGCGGAACGGAATGGAAGCGAATTATTGTAACGATATAATGAACTTTATGGTCAATTGTGTAACGTATAAACTAGATACGAGCCAAATTCTTCCTCGGAATTACTTATTTCTGCCGCCAAGCAGTAATGTGAGTATTACAGCGTTCCGGCTTTGAAGAGTAAGGGTGCTGATGAAATTACAGGCACATAGGACTTGTCAACTTATGTCTCAGTGTGACGGGTGCAGTGGCACTGCAACTGTTATGGACAGGCGTGTAGCTTTCCATCAGGCGCACGACTTGTTCGTCCCGTCACTTGATATTATAAAAAAAAGATTTTGTCTCGTTAGTTTGTACGTTACACAATTGACCATAAAGTTCATTATGCTATGTACAATACCGTTACAAAAATTCACTTCCATTCCATTCCACCACAATATAAATGGATCCTTTTTTTTTTCTTTTTTTTTGACGGGGGGAAATCTTTATGGATACCCCTAATATAAATGGATCGTAACGGTTCATTTAACTATTTAAATGCATTGATACGATTTCAATCAATATTAATAGTAATATCATTTAATAATTTCTGATTAATCTCCACAGATTCCACGCAGACAGTTCACCAGGCCTTATTACAAACAAAAACAACAATTCTGAGAACGAAGTGTATCCGTCGGAAGAACAAGAAAATATTGGTGCCAAATACTTTCTTATGACCGCCAAAGAAGCTCCATTTTGCCGTATGTATATACCTATTTACTAATACCTACTTATTTACATACTACCTACATAAATACCTTTTTATTTACTAATACCTACTTATTTACTATACATATTTGTTTGTGTATTATATTTCTCTTCTGAGACTCTCGGATCCATGTCTATGTAACAGCTAAATGAGCTATCTGTTAAAATTCTATAAAGTTTTAAACTAAATATTTAATTTAAATACATTTCTTTCCACTTCCCATCGCACACGAAACCAAATAACTGTCGTAACTCAAAATTGTGGAATTGAGAAAGCAAAAAATACTGGATGAAACCAATATAATTATAACATTCTCGCTTATAAACGCAAAATTATAATTGACTATAATGCCCCAAATAAAACCTTCGGCCTTTTTTCTTCTCATTATCGACCATTTTAATTTAATACCTGACCGAATAAGTAAAACAAATGCCTCAAATGGAATTTAAAAATTATAATTGTATAAAGTACTATTAAAAAATTGTTTTTACATTTAACATTAATTTCTCATTTTCAAATTTATTTAAATTATTATATTATGATCAGAATACATTAAATATTGTAAATTAAATTTATAATAGAGATGACAAAATAATATTTAAGTGTTTATTATAACGACTTCTATGCTACAATATTGTAAAAAAATTTGCATGTCAGAAATGGCACTTATACTTATGTGACACAAACTTATACTTATGTGGTCAAGTATTATGCACTTTTGCCATCGTTAATAACGTGTTGGCTTGCAAATAAACTATATTGATTTCATTTCTCAATTTTTGAGTCACGGCAGTATTTGGTGTCACGTGCGCTATTTTAAACACCACTAACGTTATCTATAGCGTTTTGACAGACTTTATTAACAATGCAAAGGATTCTTATCTATGGATATGCTTAAGTATAACTTCATTAATCCTCGCTTATTTGAATAAAACTAGTATTTTTAACTTTGTCCGTAACTAATATACAATTCGATCCCTCCTATCTAAAGAATTGTAAGGCCAAACGTATAACTTTATAGGAGAACGTTTTGATGTATCTGTAGGTCAAAAATGACCATAATACCTTCGGCTCCTGAGGTGTTGCATTTGAATTTGATATAAAATATAGTAATTATTTTTAACACTTTATAATTTTATTGCTAAGTATAATAGACCAATTTAAAAATAAAGTGATTTATGAAAAGGTGTGTCTATATTTGTGGCTTGCGATAGATTACGTAGGAGGGGTCGAATTATTAAGTTGAATAACTGTTACAATTCCCTGTAGTTAGATATTACTTAACCCATTATACTGTGCATAATATCATGTAATAGCTATTACCAGAGCCCTCGTACAGTCTACGTCAACATTTACGGCGCTTGTAAGTTCTTCGCTTGACTTATTGTTTTAACCGTCTCGTAAGATCGCTAATAATTTTGAATGAATTTTCAGAACGACATTACAAAATTGCTATTCAATTAGCTAACCCGAAAGGAGCTGAATCGTGGGTGCAGGTAAAAAACTTTTAAAACTTATATAAGCTTATATAATGATTGAATGAATGAATGAATGATATAATGGCATAATTATTTTTTATTTTCCTTTACTTATAATTATACAAATTGTTAACTTAATTACGTAGCAGAAAGGGTATGATTTCACCCCTTAATACAATCAAATTTTGCTATGGGTACTCCCACCAGAATTGCGAAAAAAAAATTAATTCGGTAATACAATATGGTGGTAAAATCAGCCAGTAGATCGGGATTCTCCATTAGGTAAAGGTACATTTGTATTGGAAAAGCGACGCAACTTCCGTAAGCTTATAACTGCGAAATTATAACAAATCAAACTTTTACTATTTAATGAGTGAAACAATAAAACTAACACCCTATTATATTGCAAAATTTCCAGTGCATATTTAATAATAATAATTTTTCGCCAGGGCTTCCTGAAAGTGACTCTACTGTCAGACCGAGGAGTTATAAGAGGAATGGATCTCACTCCAAGCAATTATGTAAAGTAAGTATTTAAAGTACCTACGTGTGTTAAACAATATGGGTGAAATTTACACATTACATTTATTTATAATAAATACACCGATCGAAAGAGTGATAGACTTTGAGGGCGTTTTAGCTCGTGCAATATTACTTACTGACAGAATGAATGAATGAATGAATAATATTTATTTGCCTAAAATATGCTTACAAAACGTGACACGCATAAATAGTCCTCATATGTTACTGGAACAGGCATACAAATATTGTTTTTCCACTTTTTTGTAACTATATAAATGTTTGCATATATATACTTACTATATAATATACAAAAGCCGTGGTAGCCTAATGGTTTGACCTACCACCTCTCAAGCAGAGGCTTTGGATTCGAATCTGGGCCAGCACCTATGAGTTTTGCGGAATTTATGTGCGAATTAGGAGCTTTTCGGTGAAGGGACATGGTGATTAAACCTATACATCGAAGAAGGTGTGTGTCAAATCCCCAACCCGCATTGGGCCAGTGTATAGCCTAAACCCTCGCCTGAGAGAAGACGCGTGTCCTATAGTCGGACGTATAAATGGGTCGATGATGTTAATTTACAATGTGTATTTCTATTAGCGGCAATGGAAATCTATCTTATCAGCAGGCATTAAGTTTACCTCTTTCAGTCCCTGTTATAAAAGTAAGGTATTCCAACCTTTCGTAAACTCTCTTTTAATAATTACAGATTAGAACATGGAACTACGTATACTATCGTCGTGACACATCCAATGGACTTGGGCGGCAAAGTTAGGAAGGTAAACCTTTTTTGACCAAACCATTTATGACTCAATAAGGAAATAGGCAGCATCAGATTGAACCTTCACTCCGTCCTATCAAAGACACACACCAACGAAGATAAACACTTATCCATTTAGATTTATTTAAAGTAATAATGTAAGACAAATAAAATTAAATGTTGAATTTTATAAAATTTCTTCTATATTTAAGTATTAGTATGTAATATATATGTCATATTTCCTCGCCTGATACCCTTTCTTACAAAAATCCGTTTCAACATTTTCTTTTCATGTTGCTGTAGTGGCTGAAAAGCTGATCACGACAAGCCAAGAAAAATCTTTCTTATTAAAAAAGATTCTATATTTAAATTTGGATGTGCATAGTTTAATGCGGTGATGATGGATGTACAGTATGGAAACGTATTTCAGGTGGAGCTATCGTGGGAGTACGATATGAATGTACTAGAACCGCGATCTCTATGCATCCTGTGGTGCAACGACCGACTATATGTCAAGTCGGTGCTCGTCGACCAGATGGACCTGCCTAGCAGGGGGTAAGGCTATCGTAAATTATTTAGACTTTTTTTACAATATTTAATTTATGTATCGAACTACTAAGAAATCAATTCAGGAATTTTGTAGCAACATATATCTTTACTGCAAGTGTATGTCAAATCCTTTTTTTAGAGAGCTCCATTCAAGTGGAGCCAAGTGGAGAGTGGACCAATAATATGAACTTTTTATAAATAATATGAACGGTTTCATAAACAATACGTTTGGTATTTCATGTAGTGTCTTCACCCATAATACTGTACAACTTTCTCTAACGAACCCTTGGTAATAAAAATCACAATCAGCTTGTCGAACAATTGCCACAAAAAGTTAGAAAAATGTTTCGAGAATTTAAAGTAGATTCCATGAAATTTCATATGTAATTTTGAACACTCTTTATTATAATATAATTGTTGATGACATGATATTGTACGGACAACGGCACACCAAACTACAAATTTTGGTTCGAAAATCGCCTCCAGTGCAACGGAACAACGGTGCATACGTCAATGTGTAGCTTGATGTGCTGGCGTGTGTACTTTAGTATTGTATAGAAAAGTTGTATAATGTTAAATATTCGCTAACTTCCGCAAAACCCGAATAACTCCGGAAGACGGACTTAAGAAAAAAGTAATATTGGAACGTGCATTCTCCCTATTTTTAATAGTAATTAATATTTTGTTCCAGGAAGCGCAACGTAGATTTCAGCAGTAAACTATGCACACCAAAGCGCGAGTTTGCTGAGATCCCGAACAGGGGGTCTGCCAGTTTCTATGACAATTGCAGCAGGTAGCTGTGCCATAATCGACGCAGGCTAAATTTGAATCAATGATAATGAAGTTAAAAAGAAAGATAATGGCTGGTGGTAGAGTTTGGACGGACAAGACAGTCTCAGGGATTGAAAATTGCTTTTAAACAACTAATTCGTTACAAGGGCAATTAAGAAACTCCCAAGGAACTTTGAAAGACATTAAACAGGCAAACGTAATGTTTACAGTACAAGAAAATATCTACGTTACGTCACAGAATACTAAATAATAACTACTTCTTAGATTGTGGATGCTAGTTGCACAATTTCAATCGAAATCCAGAGATGTGTGGTGATCACTAGAGGCAGAAGGACGGAAGGAGGAGGAGGAAGAGGAGAGGTCTTAAGAGATTGTAGTGACCTTTAGTACTATTGTCCACTGCAATAAAACAAAAAGTAATAAATAGGATCTATAGGACTGGCATTGGAAGCCTCTTTGTGGCTGGCCACATCCAGCCTTTTTAAGCTTTAAAAGACTAGTGAGGGACGCTATTGCAAATAAGTTGGAATGAATGTTTGAGTCGTGAGTTAGTGAACAGGGTGATGTGTTTTTTTTATAAATTATAAATTGTACTATTGTTAAATAATAGTCTAGAATAAGACTCGGCATTGACACCTACTTTTAAAGTAGGGATGATATAGACGAAGAATACTCATTTTTACTTTATAATTTTTATAAAATGCATAGAAAATAAATGTGAAGGTTTTTGTTTTAAAAAAAAACAGTTTCCTCGATTTTATTGTATTGTATAGAATCTTTCTTTGTATTCCTCAAATTTTTACATGAAACCCTTTCGTTACATTGAATTTGACAAAAACATTACCTAAGATTTGTAAACTTAAAGCCGACGTTGTACATTTTCTCCTTATTTGTATGAACTTTTGACTATTTTTTTATTTATTAAAGTGATTTTGAACTTGCCGAATAAAACTTCTGAAAAATTGTTTGGCTTTAATATTTAATCCCCAAAAATTATACGCTTATTTTGCACGTGGAACCTACATTGAGAGTCTAAAAAAGCCTAATTCTTAAAATCCAGTGATCGAAAAATTTGGTCCAACCGGAATATATGCAGCAGTCTCAACACAATACCTCTCTATTCTATATAAAATATTCATTGTTTGTTACGATTATGCTCTATCGTGTCCAAATCAAAAGAATGTAAGATTGTAATTCCATTACAAACGCTATACAGAGCGGTTGTCACGGGGAAATAAATTTATTCTTTTTTGTATAGTGTAGCTTATTTTACAAAGTACAATTATTATTCTTTAATACCTGATTTAAAGAATATGTTACATGTATTTTTTATGTTATTTTATTACCTCAAATTATTACATAAAACCGAGAAATCCTTTATGCAGCATTTCTCAAAATGCTGCTATTGGTATTACAGTCTTGATTTGACATCTGCGTGTATCCAAATATTGTGAACGATAATTTTTTCTAATGTCACTCAAAATTCTCATTCACTCCACCACTTTTCATTCACTCTACGAATATTCACATATCTCTCCTTGTGAGTAGAGGTGGGCGTTTAAAGTAAAAACACTTTAAAAAGTCTGCTTTTTAAAATAAGCGCATAAGCACGCTTTTCATTTCAAGCGTAAGCGTTGGTCACTGGCCAGTTCTATAGATACTCAATATTTTTTAATTTTTTACAACGTGCCTAAGTTTCAAGTAGCGCCATCTATGTTTCCTAAGCAAATTAATTCAACATAACGTTGCAAGCTTTCTTTAAACATAAAGTCTATGCGCTTAAACGTTTTTCTAAACGACTTTTTAAGCGTCAAACTAAAAAACGTTTAAGGGTCGCATTCCAGAACTCTACTCAATACTCAAGTCAGGATCTGAGTATGATTTCAAGCACTCGAAATACGACCTTAATGGCAAGGACTTGAGTATGATTTCCAACGACCCTTAGTGAAAGCGCTTTTACAAGCACTCTTTTTAAACGACTTTTTAAGCGTTTAACTATATCTTTCTAATTTGTGGTTTAAGCGAAAAGCGCTTTTGCAAGCACGCTTTTCAAACGTACGCTTTAACGTTATAAAATAAGCAGTTTTTTTCCATTTCAACAGTTAACAACTACAAAAGTTAAACAACTTATGTTTTTAAACGCCAATGAACAAAACATTAATATAGTAATGTTATGTTAAAAATATAACTCGCTTTTTACAAAAAAACTTACTTATCTTAAGACTCTACTCTCGCATTTCGCTATCAACACAACAACGATGCAAGCTTTTTTTAACATAATAGTCAATGCGCTTAAACGTTAATTTTGTTAGCTTTAAACTAAAAAGCATTTAAGTGAAAAAGTGTTTAAAAAGCACACTTTTTAAATAAGTATAACGTTTAAACAAATAAGCAGTTTTTCCCATCTCTACTTGTGAGTATAGTGTTCTGTGCTCCTTAGTCTGTGGTTCTGTGGATCATACACTTGATTATTCCTTTGAGGTTAAATTTAATGAAGTCTTAGACAAGTATTTTTGTGCATTATTGAACCACAACGAAACAATTTTACATGGCATCTACAACTTCAAAACTTGTGTTAGCATTATCATGTTGCGTTTCATGCGGTATAGTAAGTTACGTGCATTTGAAACAGAAGATTGACAGGTAAACAAAGCTTGTTTTTTCACTAGCTACTCGTGAATACACACCACCAGTCTACTAAAAGGGTCCTTTACGTATAAAAATAATTAATAACAAATAAATAGCATTAATACCTAACTGTAGCTGAATGTTGAAGAGCTTATAATATGCAATAACACTAAAATAAGTCTTGTGAATCTTTATCACAGTCATTTATTAATTTTATGAATCCCTCTCTAAGTTACTTAACATTTGCAGGGATTTGGTACCTAATTTCAGTTCTGCTTGTTTCAGGGACAGAATGCATGAAGGTGTAATCAAAGATGTTGAACGACAACAAAGAAGAAAAATAGAAAACTTGTATATGTTAGAGAAGCAGAAAGAATTGACCAATAAATTAAAAAGAGAAATGAAAAATTCATAAATGAAAATGTTTACATATACTTAGGATAAGATTTATTTATTAACGACTAAACTAAAAAGTAAATAAAGGCTACAAGGAGATTTATTTCTTTTCCTTCAACCACGCATCAAGCATGACATCTTTTAAGTTGAGGTTGACTCCAGTGGGGCTTTTAGAATCTGTTCCGTCTATAAAACCGTCCAGTTCAACCTTCTTTTTGGCAACTGCTGCTAAACACTCGAAAGTACGTGGCTCCCAAGCGGCAAGGTCTGATAATGATTTCCGATCTAACATAATATTAGCACGATCCAAGCCTTGTTTGAATGTAAAGGCTGTTACGTTATGTTGTTCACAAGCTGCTGTGATCCTTGTATTCCATAAGTCTATCATATCTTGTTTCTTCAGCTTTCTTGCTTTTGTTGCGTAAACTAATGCACGGTGGACGTTACGCACGGCTACGGAATAACAATTGCGTCTGCGACCCACGTAATGAGCAGCTAGTCGAAAGATCTTCCTTTTGCGCCAAAACTCGTCCGGTCCTTTCGATCGAACATAATTTATCATTGATAAAAACACCATTGCGAGTGAGACCTGAAAAGGTTAGGTTATTTCAGATGTTTTACTTGGAAAACTCAAAATCGTTAATAAATACAGACGAAAGAAATTGTCGTTTTTAACTCACTTTAAGTATTATTTGAATCAAGATTTACAAAACGTATTGTAAAATTAAAAAAGTCCACCATTCACTTTTATTTGAAATTGACATGACAGATGACAAACAAATGACATCGGAATAGAGATGCTCATGTCGTGAGTTCAAATGAATGAGCTAACATTTTCTTTAAAAACGATTACGAATCTATTTTAAATTACGGCTGTTTAATTAATGTATATAATAATTGAATAAACTTAAGTTTATCCTTATAATAAATCTTGTTAAAGTTTTTGTTATACTGTGATGGTTTTTGTGTGCTTTGAAAAATGTAATAAAAAAAACAGTGTTGTATAGTTTTTAATCGACTTCAAAAATAGGAGGAGGTTCTCAATTCGACTGTATTTTTTTTGTATGTGAACCGATTTTGAGGATTCTTTTTTTTTTTGTTGATAAGAGGGGATACCCCAGTCCCATTGTCATTGGTCCCATTTAAATTTAAAGAAAACATTAACCTCTAAGGGTCAAAATAGGGGATGAATCCGGTTTCACGCACTTTCTCGTAACCGATTCCATTAAAACTTGGCAAATAGATATTATTCCACGAACGTTTTTTAGTACTCTGTACCAGTCTGTACTGGATTATTAGTTACTTACATAAGTTCAACCCTACTGATCGAATGCATGAATGATTAGAGTAAAAATTTTGTGCTAAAATGAAATCGAATACACGCCTTTTTTTAAAACATCATATAAGCAATTTAACCCATTAGCTACGCATATCACTTTAAAAAATTGCTTTCTCACTGCTGCTCATTACAAATAACAAAAGAGGAACGGAATACTTATTGTAAAATATTTAACAAAAAAGAGAGAGGACAAATTTATAGGGAGGAGATTTTAGTCACTGGTCACTGGAAGTCTAGTGAAGTCCGTACGATCTGCTCCAGACCTGCGGCATCCGTCAAGATTTTCTCCTTCCGACGAAAATAATATACAACAAAATTAAAACTTACCACACTATTTTTGAGTAATCTGTTCTCCACCTTTCGTCCATTTGCTTTCTTGGCTTCTCGCCGTTTACATAGCAGTAAAAATTCACGTAACAGTAGAGCTCCTTGTGAAATAGTTTGTCCAGGGTAGTACCTATTTCTATCCCCAATCTGTAATGTGAGCATTACGGCTTTCCGGATTTGAAGGGTAAGGGTACTGGTAAAATTATAGGCACATGAGATTTTTCAACTTATATATTAAGGTGACGGGTGGTGCTCTTTGCGCAACTGTTATAGACAGGCATGACGCTTATCACCAGGCTCACAACTTGTTCGTCCCGTCATTTAGTATCATAAAAAAAATAAAAGTCCGTGAAGAACGATAACCTTTTGTTCTTGGGTCCAAGCCAAAGTGAAAAACACAACGTCTTCTTCGCTCTTATTGCATGGAGTTAAAGCTTTATCACGACTATCACTGACCGACTCAAGCTTTTTCCCCATTCTTTTTCCCCATTAACTAGTGTAGTAAAACCCATCCTGCGGTTACGTATAGTGTGAGGTCTATCTTGATTACTCCTATTTTTTTGGTAGTCGTATTTTATTATATTAAAACGCTACATTTGTTGTTTGTTGACAAACATGTCGGCGCTGTTAGCCAACACGTTCACAATGAATGCATACGCCATTTTACCGGTTTACACATTATATAAAAATAGGTAGGTACATCAAAAACGTCAGAGATGATGACATTGCGAACATGTAGGCTAAACAGACACAGTTATCATCGATCGAAGAGGTTCCAAAATTATATACCTTGCTGCTGCCTTAACGTTGGCGTTCTTGGTCATTATAAACTGACTGCACTCATCGAAACTGACTGACTGATTAAGGATTAATAATAACATTTTCATCAATAAATAGTGACTTATTAATTTACAATCGATCCATTGACGAATTTCGGAATCGGTCGGTAAAAATTTGGATTAAAAGTGGCTTAAATGAAACCCATTCACGAATTATGTCCTTCCATTTTATTTAAAAATAAAGTTACAACAATTATAAGTAAAGAAATATATTGTTTTATACCTACATTACAACATTATACGTATAAAAGATCCGCTCTTGTCCATCACGTTACAACTTGACCGGGAAGGCAGACATTATGGCACCGAAAACAAAACTGAACATTTTGTAAGGTCCACATTCAAACAAGGTTATTTTTTATCAACCCAAGACGTCTTAACACGATACTCCTGTCACTAGAACAAACAACTTTCGCTTTACGACATTTATTCTGTCGATCTCTAAAAGTGGTAATAAATATAAATCTTATGAATTCCCAAAAGCAGTTTGGTTCTGTGCCTCTACCACGAGTTTACTGTGACAGTTGTCTC